AAACCTGACTCTGCTGCATAAAGTTAGGTCTCAACTGCAGATTTTTATGTCCACAAAACCACAGGGCTAGAATCAATGAAATTACGTAACAGTGACTTGTTAAACAGCCTTCCCCATTGGTTAATGACAAGCATGCACGATTCTGTGTTTGAAGAGAGATTTTGTGCCAGAAGAAGAAAAACCACAACATTCTTAGAACAAGGATTTAAATACTCAGTAAATATTTTAATCAGGGGAGGGGGACCCCTTAAAACCTGTAATATACTGGTTACTCACCAGTGTGACAGCCAGCTTAACTAGAAATTAAACAACTTCAGGGTTGTTGTTTTTAAATCTCTGCTCAGAAAATGTTTTCTGAAAACTAGTAAAGCTTATGCAGAATGTTAATTATCAAAGCACTGAAGAAGTAACCTGGCTAAACAATTAATGTGTTTGTTTTTCTCCTCCTAAAGCTAGATCATTAGGTCCTACAGCTTCTCTTCATCAAAACAGCGAAGGGCAATTTGTTGTGGGAATCGCTTTTATGCTAGTGTACAAACGGACAACAAAGCAGTATTACAGGTTCCATTCAGCTCCGCTTAAATGATTTCTAAAACCTTCCAAGCAGGAAGCGGGGTAGGTTATCTAAGTAGGGACTTTAGCAACTACTGGGAATCATCTCTTCCTGCCTGTTTTTTTTTTTTCCCCTCACTCTGCTCCCCACAATTTACTCTCCCCCCTCACACACACACTATTTTCTGTCACCATTTCAAAGTTGCTTGTCCGTGCTTTCAACAAGACAATGCAGAGGAATGAACAAAGTAGCTTAAAATAGATTGAGCTGCTTACAAGATCAGTTTGATATGTTCCGAATGGCTCCCAACCTTTGTTAGGTCTCTTTAACCTTCTGTGACGCTCTCCCGTGCTGAGGTGCCAAAAGGTGCCAAAACCCCTTAGAAGCTTTTGCACAAAGAGGGAAGAGGCAGCGGTGGGGTGGGTCAGGTAAGCCCAGGTAAGACACTGAAGAACAGTGGCGACAGAGCAGGGCAGCTCTCTCACTGCCCACCACAGCCTGCCAGAACTGTTTCACGGTAGCCTGGGCTTTTTCTCATCAGTTCCGGCACCTCTCAAGCGATAAGAGAACAAGGGAGACGTTCATGGTGAGTTATGGCACCTCTTTTTCTAGAAAAATAGCACTGACTGTAGCTCACCTGGGCTGCCCACCATCACAGCCTAAACCACCACCTGCTGTCTCTACCCTCAGCCAGCTGTTATCTCTCAGCCAGCTGTTACCGTGCTGTAGTTTGCAGTGCCATCTGTCTGTGGCCAAGCGAACTGATGCATGACAACAGCATTAGGCAAATGTATTATGTATAGAAAGCCATCTATTCTAGTGACCAATAAACACCTTGATTATGCAGCTGCTTATCCTGATATCCTTTTGACTGAAGACATCAGAGATTGAACCTGGAACTTTCAAAATGCAAACCATGTGTTCCATCAATAAACTTCAATTGCCATTTAAGACTTGTGGGGTGTATGCCCAACAGCTTGCAAAGCTGTGTCTTATTAGATGACGTTCACCCTTTAAGAATTTAAAAATCTTTCATCACTAATGCATCTTTGCTGAGAGACTGTCAACATTTTCACCTATAGATTGAAAAGGCAATGTCAAGTCAATCAGGAAACAAAGCACAACAATAATAAAAGTTTTCTGTAAAAACCTGGTACTTTGTCTTCATCAATCAGTATCTCTGCTACAAATGCTAACAAGTGCAAATCCATAGGAAATGCAGGGACATCAATATGATCCTGGGGTTCAAAAATTGAAACTTTGGATTAGAGAAATATTGAGTTTCTCAACAACAGCAAAATCTTCCTCAGTTTTCATAGTAAATAAAGGAAAGAAAGTGAAGTCTGGCTCAATTGATTGGCTATTAGCATTAGCAGCAAATGACAAAGGGAGATAACTGTGATTTATTAGAGTGGCATAAACCATAATATTCAACATCTACTACTTAATATTGTTGTTCTCATTTTCTTTCTGCCTTGATATTCATCTCATACAGTAGGTTCCTTCAAAATAAACCCAGTGTTATTTAACAAAATTTTATGGCTTGCACTAAAGGACTAATGTATACCACACAACACCCATTGCAATGTCTCAGGGGAAAGTGAATCAACTGAATTTATTTGCAAAGTGGGATAGTCATGCTGTTGGTTTGTTCCATGATCACATCACACTTTTTCAATGTATATATTAAGACTTAGCCCACCTCCCAATCCAGACCTGTATTAGGAGATTAGCAAATTAAAAACAAAAACCAGGGCAAATTTTGAAACTGTCAAATGTTATGATAGGAAGGAATTCCAGTTTCTGGACTTCCATTTAAAAAGAAACAGTGGGTCCTTACCCTTCCTAGAAAGAAAGTTATGCAGCAAAATGTGCCGGTCGTCTTCTAAGTGATTTCTATGAGATGAGCAGTCTGCCTTCTCCTGCCTGTCAAGTATTTTTAGCCAATGGGTAAAGTCAGAGCTGCAATTGATGAGTGAGTTGTTTGGATACCATGTGACAGGAATCACTGGAGTCCAAGAGCTGTTTTCGTTGCCTCATATTTAGTGCATTTGCTCTGCTTCTGTCTCATTGTCTAGTCCTTAGAATCTCCTTAACTTGCCCTTCCTTTTTTCCTGGTAAGCGGGATGCAACTTTCCTGTGGTGCATGTTTCTGAGATCAGATACTCCTTAGCAGTTATTTTCTGCAAATGCTACATCATAATAAAGATGGGTGGATGTTAAAGAATAGTCCCCTCTAATGGCAAGTGCAAAATCTTTGCAAAGAGACTTAAGCATGTCTCTTGCTGTGCAGTAGCTAAAAACTAGACACTCCTTAAGAATTCAATGGCATACATGCCCAGTCAGCAGTAGGCATGTATACCATAATTGGATATACTGAAGCCTAGGCTTTGGTTTAGATTTAGCATTGAGGGAAAGCAGGATACCTGCCTGTGTGGCAAGTGGAAATTCAACAGGTTAACTAATGAATGTGCCATGATATACACAGATTGATTGTTGGATCAGTGCAATTCCATTATGACAAAAGAGGCTTAGAATTATGTTTCGCTTCTGGTCTCAAGTCCTTAGAAAAGGCAATTAAGCATCCAATCCTAAATTCAGTGGCAATGTTAAGGTACTTTTAAATGCCCTGAGTATTCTTGAGGAATATGGAGTAGTTTTCCTAACAGTGTTGAGAGCCTCCTTCAATAGAAGCTAGGTTAGCAATCATATGTGCTGTTATAGCTGTGAGCCTGGATGACTGGAAATGGATTATAGGTGCAGAGAGCACTCCCAATTCCTCATGGGGATAGTATACTGGAAGCTCATTACATCAGTGGCTGCAAGCTGGTAGCTGTTAGCTGGGTGAGAAAGAAAAATGTTTACTCTGAGAAGTACTTCCCCTGAAATCAATGGGACTTAGCAAACACTAATTTGTTTGCTAAGCTGCTAAATTCTGAGCATTTAAATCAAGTCCTTATTGGCAAATTTTATGTCTCGAAACCTAGCAACATCCTAAATGAGAGAGTCTCAAATATTTTCTATAATAAAGTGATACTAATGGTAAGTGGCAACATAAATAATCAAATGTATGATAATTTTACACAGCTCAGCCATAAAATCAATCCATTTTTATGCTTTCATCCATCACCTCTGCACTTTACAGTCCTTGTTCTAATTCCCCGTATGGAAATGAGGAATTAATGATTGGCTGAGAAGTTTATTTATGAAAAATGCTGAGAATGGAGAATCAAATACTGTGTGAACCAAGTCTTGAAATCTGCAACTACGAGGGGGACTTGGTTGAGACACTTTCTAGGAGGCAATGGCCTTCACACAGGGCACGAACATGGTGCAAATAAACAAGTGCATACCTCGCTCCACCCATACATGTTAACAATATTTCCACACTGAGGCTTCTATGTACACAAACTTGCTTTACACAAGTTTTTTCCACTTTTAAAGGTGAAAAATCATATGAAACAGGCAGGTGTGTGAACCAACTTTTGAAATTGAGCGTTCTCTTCATATGCTGCTTTAGGTACATGGCAGGGAGGAAAAACTGTATGATTCTACCTGCCATGCAATACAAGCTGTACAAGGCAGCACATGTCAAAGCAGGGATCCTTGAAGGGCTTCGTAGTGCCTTGGTGATCGAGACAACAAAAAATTAATGAAACTGCAAACAAGCATCTGCTGAAGGCCACAGTAATGTCTCTAAGCTTAGCATGACACCAGAGTACGATGATGGGGGAAAGGCAAGAAAGCTCCAGAGTGGGCAGAGAGCAGAGGGAGAGCTCTTTATGACTGACAGGTCAAGTCTGCAATTGGAGGGAACAAGAAATCTCTCAGGTCTTCCATTTTTAGACAAATCGTTTACAAAACACTAGAGGGGATCAAGTGTTTTCTTTTTCACCCACCGTAAAATGCAGCCATCATTCTGAAATTTGGAAGGACTCATGCCCTTAAAAAAGGCAAACTTTAAAGGGGAAACACACCATTGAGTCCACTTCAGAAACTCCAGCTAGTGCAGACTGCTGATGAAAGCTTCTGGTTGAGAACATGTGACATCACTGTTAAAACAACAGCATTGGTTGCCCATCTACTACCAAGCCAGGTCCAAGTTGCTTATATTAATTTGCAAAGCCCTGAACAACACACTATAGGTCCAGGGTACCTCAGACATCACCTCAACCCTTATGTTGCAGCTTGATCACTGAGATCATCTCCAGGAGCATCCTTGGTCATTGGTGAAGCCAAATTGGTGAGGCTAATTTGGCAACAACTAGAAACCGAGCATTTTGTTTCATTGCCCCAGGGCTGTGGCATACTCTGCCAATATTCATCAGTGACTTTCTGTCTCAGTTTTTAAATGCCTGCTGAAAACATTTCCACCAGGTCTATACAAACAATTAAGAATACACCCTTACACAGTGATTAATTGATGTTAAATTGTATTTTATTTATTTATTGTATGGTAAACTGCTTTGGTATATTTTTATGACTTTCTGGTCACCCAGAACTAAAGGTCCAGTGTCCCAAGAAAGATGTAGTTTTCTCAAGGGGATAACACATTTGACCACAACATCTGTAACCAGAATTAGCACCAAGAAGCTGAATTTTGAGTGGAGGAATAAATAGGAAGGCCTGCTGACATCTGTTCTCTCTTGACGTTTCTTCTAAATCTCTTTGCTCCTTAGCCGCCTTTCCCCTTATGGGGAGAAAAATATAATGGTATGAGTATATTTTCCACTATGGGGATAGATAGATAGATGATAGATAGATGATAGATAGATAGATAGATAGATAGATAGATAGATAATAGATAGATAGATAGATAATGAATAAGGTTAAGTGGCTATATACACAGGCACACAAACACAAGCTCTGTCTCTTCATTCAAATCCATCATCAGTCATGTTGCTCCAAAACCAATGCGATAAAGATATCACACAACTCTGCTTCATGTTTAGTTCTGCTCTTATTTTGAAAAGCAGACACTGCTGCTGCTATGGTAGCACCCCAGGGTGATGTCACAATGTCACATAGCCAATTAGAGTTGACAAGGTGATGACAGTGGAGAAAGCAATGAGGGCAATGGAGAGTGAGGCCAAGTGGCTCACATGTAAATGACTATGTGTACATGTTTTTCACAAGCAGTGATAAAAATTGCCCCAGAGAAGTGGGTTTCGGTTTTGCAGGGTCAAAAAATGTTCTTTGAAGATGCTTTGTATAAATTTATCACTACCATAAGAACATAAGATGTTATATAACTGCATCTCACTGGCTTTCTCCAATCTTAGGCCATAGACTACTGCAGAAGGCTGTCAACCAGCCTACCTGAAGGAAAAGTGACGCCTGCAATCTTTTCACCAGACAAGCAAACACTACTTTAAACATGGACACATTGCCATGGGGATTGATGGAATACAAATAATTGGCTATTCTGGATAACTGAGGTTCAGATATAAAGAGCGCTACTGAACATTTGCATCCATAGATCTGTATTGCTTCTGGGTCCAATCTCCCCCCCTGTAAAATAAAATTCATTGCATTTCTTCTTCTGTAAAAGTAGACTGAAGTGTCTGGTAGATTTAAAGGGTGTATATATATATATATATATATATATATATATATATATATGCTGAGGGGTTTTTTTACAAAACATCCAATTTCTGAAGTAGATTGTTTCAAGAAATGTGCCCCTTCCCGTGAACTTAAAAATGATCCATAATATGATTAGACACTGCACATTATTATGGGCATCTAATGGAATTTTATGATTGACTGCAGACTGATTCTGCCAGCTCCTTCCCCTGAGCAAAGTCAGAAGAACATAATGAATCAAGGGCAAGGGAAGAATTCACTATGCAGATATCTTGTAGGACTTTAAAACTTGCTGATAGATCAAACCACATCTCTAATGACAGGTGCATATTCCCTAACATGCTAACCTCCTTTCCTTAGCATTAATTCTTTTCAATACAATGCTTCATTTGTAAAAAGCCTTTGGGGTATGTGGTATTCATAGTAGCACTAATAAGTGATAATAATCAGAATAAAAATAATATGTCTTTTATTGCGAACAAAGGAGAATTTCATTGGGCTCAATCATCGTAACCAACTCTAACAGCGCAGTCCAAACCCAAGAGCTGCTGGGATAACAGAGTTTGGATTTGGCAGATCATGAATTTTCCCTCACTCCAGCTCAGCGGGAGATGTGCCACTGTGACAGCAGCCATGAAATTAAAAGATGCCTGCTTCTTGGGAGAAAAGCAATGACAAACCTAGACAGCATCTTAAAAAGCAGAGACATCACCTTACCAACAAAGGTCCGTATAGTTAATGCCATGGTTTTCCCAGTAGTAGTGTATGGAAGTGAGAGCTGGACCATAAAGAAGGCTGATCACCAAAGAATTGATGCTTTTGAATTATGGTGCTGGAGGAGACTCTTGAGAGTCCCATGGACTGCAAGAAGATCAAACCTTTCCATTCTGAAGGAATGAAGGAATCAGCCCTGAGTGCTCACTGGAAGGACAGATCGTGAAGCTGATACTCCAATACTTTGGCCACCTCATGAGAAGAGAAGACTCCCTGGAAAAGACCCTGATGTTGGGAAAGCTGGAGGGCACAAGGAGAAGGGGACGACAGAGGATGAGATGGTTGGACAGTGTTCTCGAAGCTACCAGCATGAGTTTGACCAAACTGTGGGAGGCAGTGGAAGACAGGAGTGCCTGGCGTGCTCTGGTCCATGGGGTCATGAAGAGTCGGACACGACTAAACGACTAAACAACAACAACAAAGTCCCTCACCTTAACTCAGGTGGGCCTCAGCTGGCAAAGTTTAAGCTGGTGGAACTTACACTGTTGTAAGTTCCGAAACGGTGCATTCTAAAGGTATAGTGGGTCGGGACAGGAAAGGAGAAACCTGCACCTATTCCAAACCCCTTTCAGCTTTTAGTCACATGATCTAGCAACCTAGCAGAACATAGCCAGCTAAAGGGTGGTGTAAGTAAAATGCCTCCTGAATTGAGTTTGAAATAGAGACAACTTAATGGACGCCTTCATCTGCCCCAGCTGCAACAAAACATGTTTCTCCCATGACACTCTCTACAGCCACAGATGGCACTGTAGCAGTTTGACTTCACCCCCAAAGGCACACTTCTTCATTGTCTCCCGAGACAGACAGATGCAAACAACAAGTATAAGTTGCAGCAGCTTTCTATAGTTAGGATTTATCTGTGACACACCAGCCATTATACTTGTTATTGCCTAATGATGATAACTATGACATTACTCAAGTTTTACTCATTTTGATGTCCATTGTGAAAGTAGTGCCTTAAATTTTCTTTGTTTCTTCTTTTGCAATTGCTCATGCCTGTTGTTCCTCTGTTCTGCCATTTATCTACTTCCTCTTTCATAGACAGATTCTAGTGAATCACATATCATGTAGTGACATGGTGAAGGCATCACAACAATGCAACATTAGATTCAAGCAGTACAACATTACATAACCAATCAGATCAGGCCAAGTTGGTGCCTTCCAGGAGTTATGAGCTATAACTCCCCATCAGTCAGAGCAAGCATGAGGAAAGGTCAGAGTTTATGAAAGCTGTATTCCAAAACACCTGAAGGCACCAACTGAAAAATTATAGATGTTGTGAAACTGGAACCTGCATTACCAAAAGATTTCAACATTTTACTAACGGAACTGAAAAATTATAGATGTTGTGAAACTGGAACCAGCATTACCGAAAGATTTCAGCATTGGATTTGAGCCCAGCTATTGTCTTGCCAAAACTGACTGCTTTAATTCCTGCAATGATCCAGTGCCAGTCCACTTTAGCAGCAGTGGCCTTGACTTGAGCCAATGTTGTCTGTCTCACATGTCTTACCATTTCTCAATCACAAAAGCCTTGGGGCAAAGCATTCACAGACCTCGCAGTGGAGGTGGAGGAGGCTATTTTGCCAACCTCAGAGCATTAGATTGATTGATGAATCTTAATCTAGAAGCCTTTCAGATGAAACGATATTACTCAGAGGAGCTTATTTCCTAGACTACATGAAGTAAGGGAGAAATCCAAACCCAAGGTCCACTAGAATGACTGAGTTTGGGTCCAGCAGATCTCTGGTGCAGATGACCTATACTAAGTGCAATTGGGCTAAGCCTTGGAAAATAGGCATTGTGGGACTGATGCAACTGGACAGGTGGTACTTACATTGGATCCCAACTCTGTTCAGCAAAGTCAAATGACTTGGACTTAGCTACATTAGCTTAAAAACCAGTGTTTTGAATGTGTTACAAACATGCAACACCAGATGGTGCTGGGCAGCAAAAAAGAAATACTTGTGATTTTCCATAGCGCTTTTTTCCTTTTGTTGTAAGGATTTAATTTCTGACTGATTTATAGTGTCCCCCCCCCATTGTGTAGATCCACCCTTGGCAGAAGGTCTGCCAGCCAAAAGGGTGGTGTAGGTCAAATTCTATTTTAAAGGCTTGTTTTCCCTCTGTCAGGCTTAGGCCAGCTCTGCACTGCTCCTGAACAGAGTTTACAGTAATGGTAACTTACACTGATGTATTACTAACAGCTTTATGAGGTGGTATCTTAATTTTCCATGGCTTTTACTATACGGACCTTTGTTGGCAAGGTTTTCCCAGTAGTGATGTATGGAAGTGAGAGCTGGACCATAAAGAAGGCTGATCGCCGAAGAATTGATGCTTTTGAATTATGGTGCTGGAGGAGACTCTCGAGAGTCCCATGGACTGCAAGAAGATCAAACGTATCCTTTCTTAAGGAAATCAGCCCTGAGTGCTCACTGGAAGGACAGATCGCGAAGCTGAGGCGCCAATACTTTGGCCACCTCATGAGAAGAGAAGACTCCCTGGAAAAGACCCTGATGTTGGGAAAGATTGAGGGCACAAGGAGAAGGGGACGATAGAGGACGAGATGGTTGGACAGTGTTCTCGAAGCTACAAACATGAGTCTGACCAAACTGTGGGAGGCAGTGGAAGACAGGAGTGCCTGATGTGCTCTGGTCCATGGGGTCACGAAGAGTCGGACATGACTAAACGACTAAACAACAACAACAACAAATCTCAATTTTCATTCTCTTTTAATCCTTATGTGGTGATGACGTAGTGCTTTTAGCAGATCACTTTATGTTGAAAAGGATAGCTTGACATTGTACCTTCCGAAAATCAAATATGGCTGCTGTCTTGGGGGTGGGGGATGTTGCCACAGGAATGACTAGAAACGAGAAATGGCCTTTGCTCTGTGTGTGCTACTTTTGAGTGACAAGCGTTCTGTATGCATCCATTCTATTTTTAAGAGCTAGGAGTTAAGGTTGTTTGGCTATAAGTTGTCTTGGGTTGTCTTAGGCATGAGAAAGTGACTAACAAATTTAATACATAATAATAATATCTATATAAATGCCTATGTGGGAAGCCATATTTCTTCTTCATACTGTGCACTAGTAAACACACTGTATCACTCAGCCTTCCTCCTGAGGCCTTTAAAAAGGTAAAGGGACCCCTGACAATTAGGTCCAGTTGTGGGGTTGCGACACTCATCTTGCTTTATTGGCCGAGGGAGCCGGCGTACAGCTTCCGGGTCATGTGGCCAGCATGACTAAGCCGCTTCTGGCGAACCAGAGCAGCGCATGGAAACGCCATTTACCTTCCCACCGGAGCGGTACCTATTTATCTATTTGCACTTTGACATGCTTTTGAACTGCTAGGTTGGCAGGAGCAGGGACCGAGCAATGGGAGCTCACCCCGTCGCGGGGATTCGATCCGCCGACCTTCTGATTGGCAAGTCCTAGGCTCTGTGGTTAAACCACAGCGCCACCCGTTTCCAATCCTTCCGCGTCACTGGGGCCTTTAGCTGTCCCATATTCCATACTTTGCTGCCATGCCATAGCTTCATTTCAAAATGGGTGTGCTGTTGGCTCTCTCTATGTGTATGATTCACACTG